CATACGTGCTCTGCCGGGCAACTCAAGCTGGAAGCCAATGGTAAATTTAAAGTTACAATTGTCAGGTATGGTTTAGGCCAGTCCCCCCGGTTTCAAGTCCGGCAGTTTAAAACCCTGGATGTTTAAAGTCCGCGGTTTAAAATCCCGGATGTTTAAAGTCCCCCCGGCGTTTGGAGGGTCCGAAGACCGGGCAGGGCCAGGTCCCTTCCTAGTATGTACTCTTTAAAGTTGAACGAGGTCACGCCAGAAAGACCCGACAGGTCCAGCAATGTAGTCTAGTACCGCCCACCCGGGCTGTTCTATTAGGACACCCTACGAAATATCTCTGGGCCGGGATCCGATATTCTGATCTGGTCGATGTGTGACCACCGCATATATATATAGACGTGCTTTAAATTTGCCAACGTGCATCTTATATTGTGAATTCCACTGTACTCCTTGCAGAAAGAGTGGGGGCAATTTTGTGATCGATCATCAGCCTAAGCTCTAGTCCTCTCAGGATCAATACGAGTCTTGGAGACAAGTAGGTAAGGGAAACGCAGCTCATTTCCTGGACCCGCCTTATAGGCATATGTACCCTTATTATTTGACCAAGCCAATGCAGGTACACTCGGGTGTGGAATGTTACTTTCCTTCTACGTAGTTACCGCTGCAGGTTAATAATTCATGCGATCGGGTACGTTCCACGCATCTATTAAACTCATGAGTCTCGGGTCAGAGACGCTCGAGAGGGGGGAAATCTTGCTTCTTCCCCACGCGAGAACTTCAGGCCCTCTCAGTGGTCTCCCCCGAGTGGTCTTTTTTTTTTTTTTTTTTTGTGCAAGAACCAGGAAGCAGCCCGGAATCACGAAAATCTCAGACAATTTTCGAGGGGGCTACCAAGATTGTCAAAAGATTATGTGCAGTGGAGAACCCTGAGCACCCGTATTGGTCATGCATGGGCCAGTTTACTTTCTGGACATTCGAGCACAAAAATACAGTTGTAACTTAAGCTCCGCGTGTTTTTAATTTCCCCCCAGGATTCAACCGACTTGATATATATATACTTGAGCAACTAATACTGCTCGAATTTCCTCGCGGTCCCCAACGGACTGTTTTGGGAAATAAATGATTTGTCACGGCGGTAACGGATGTCAATACCACAATCTCCTTTATTTTTGTAAGGAATGATGACAGCGAACCCGAGGAAGAGTAGTGCCTTATCCTAACGATATATATACTATACCGTGTTCCGTTTTATAAACAAGGGCGGGTGAGATTATATGATCCAGATAATACGTAATCAAACCCCCGGCCATACGAGTTCAGCCACGGACCTCATAAAAGAAGTTCCGCACGTGACTAAGAATAGCCCAGAGAGAGTCGGCTATCTCTGAGAACCTTTTTTTATCACAAGTCACCATCCCTGTATGGAACTCGTACCAGTACTTGCGGGTTGTCAGCACTTGTTGTTCATGATTCTCACTGTATATAGTAGGTGTACCAGTATTACTAGATTAGTATCAAAACGAAATGAGCTCGGATTTCCTGTGGGATCATGAGACCATAATTAGGTCTTGTATGTATAAGGGGGTTCTAAATACTTCCTTTTTTTGCCTTGCTTGTGAAATAGATTCTGTCCGCGGACCACGGTTCTGATATCGTCTTTCTGTGGTTCTTTGGTTCCTTGTTTTTTTCTCCTACTTCTATCGGGTATGTGCAGCGTGGTGTTGCTCTCATGGTTATACGGTTATACAGGATATATACATGGATTCAAGCTCATGCTATTAGTTAGTAGTAGAGTACGCAACAGAAGATTGGTCATTTAGTGAGTCAGCGACTGGCATATTGAATTTTCCAGAAAAGGCCAATAAAAGATTTAAAACATGTTGAACATCCCACAAAGCAATCATTTGTTTGTCTGTGTAGTTAGCAAAAATCCAGGCCCAGGTGACCATTGCTATTGTCCCTGTACCCCGCGGGGGATTTCAGAGAGGTGGTTCGGGATCGGAAAAGTCAAATTATTGGACAATTGCACGTTGTGGCCTCGATACGCGACAACGCCAATTAATCCGTAGGGTACAGGCTTTCTCTGGTAACGGCTTCTGTATGCATCGCGCTAGGGGAACTCACCGACTCCATCCCTGCCTTGCATTCCTCATGCTCATGTTCGTCTAAAGCCTTGCTTGCTCCCCGCCGGATACGATTTGACATACCCGGGGTTATTTTCGGCACGCCGAAGGCCCTAAGGTCCTGTGCTAAGGTGGAAATCCGACAGGCTGATCATATTAACAGCGCGATATAGGGCCGGTTCTCGTACCGGTACTTTGACCTCAGGCTCTGAGCCCACTGTCTCCACTTCTCTCTGTTCCAGAAGATCATTCATTACAACTCCACACGAACCCTAAATATATAGCCGACATAAATTGAACTCTATTCTAACGTTAAATAACCTCTGTTGCTCATTTACGTAAAGCATCGACGAGGCCCTGCTGATCCTTCTCTTCTCAATAAGATTTGGCCAAGCTTTGGTCCAGGAGAAAACAAATTTTCTTATGCTGGGAACATCGTTATGTAGGTACATGTATGTACCGGCTGCATAGCCGGATCAAACGCCCTTACATCTGGTTTGCCAATTGTAATCCCGACCTGTCTGTAGGGGTTCTGTTCTCTCCATAGAGTCTGAAGAGGATTTTCCCTGAACAACGAGTTTCCTCTTCAGGCAAAGACTGTCCCGGCACACCGAGTTAACACATGTCACCATTTCTGGTAGGTAAGTTTTTAAAAAATGTATGTAGCGGGCTTCTGCTTGCTGCCCGTGCGCGTTTTTTGGGAGGCTATCCCCTTTACTCTCTCATTAAGGGTTCTCAGCAGAAAACGGTTTCGAGAAGAGTTCCGGTCTTAAACATTTGTAAAGCACCTCGTGATAGCGGAAACAGCGTTTTTCAAGTCTAGTGCCAAGTACACCCCCTATTAGAGTAGGTAGGTAGAATGAGTGAGTGAAACCTCCTGAAAAGAGGATCTGTGGCTGGAATTTGCCGCCGGTAATCTTTGCCCCACCAATCGTGCTAGAGATTTGGCTCATGCGCCACAAGTAGCATGCGGCAAGAATGATCGCCACTACGTTGATTGGACATCAAAGACTAAGGGGAAAGAGCTGCTGACCGCATCTGGGCTGGAGTCGCGTGGCACTGTGAATTAAAAACTGACTGCATCTGAGTGAGGCCAGGTTCCGTTGGGGGAGATAGACTTACGAGCTGGTACGGTTTGGTTTGGTACGGTTGCCTACGGGAGAGTCGGCCAGGTCTTTATTTGCGAAGAACCCTCATCCCTTCATCTTATATATGAAGAGACTAAGCATATCCGGGAGGTTCGAACCACGCGCCGGCGTTTCGGGGGTAAAGAATGACGTCGGATTGAACTTTCAAGCGCGGCTTTGCTGGGCCGGACACTCTATGGGAGAAGCTATGCACTTGGCCCCAGTGCAGGGAAGACGTTGGAAATGCTTAGCAACTTTACCATTATCTGTGATTTAAAATCGGGAATTCTGGGGCAAAGGATGAAGCACGGCTGCAGTTGCATGGTCATTCCGCTAGATGGTGGTGATAACATCGTATCCGCTGCTATGTATTCGGGAGCGGCTTTGGGGTGGGGGTTGGAAGTGACTTGGTGGTTTGTGGTTGTGGTTTGTTTGTGGACCTGGGGAATTGGGAGCGGGTATGCTCTACCGTTGTTACCACCTACTAACCATAGAAGGCCTCTCCTCGTATTTGTCTCAGGGCTCATTTCTCTGCTCACGCGCTGCGTGAAGCTGATCTGACTTCCCCTTTGCAAAGGGGCAAACTAATTTGTTTCGATGTCATTTTCAAGCAACGGTTTTTTGGTTGATGGAGACCACAGAGTGCACATATATGCACTTTGGTAAAGTAGATTCTGTTTCATGTACGCTTCAAACTCGGGTATTCCTAACATAATCAGAGGCGCTCTTGGTGGTAACAAAAGCAATTTAAACAAAGTGCGTGCTTTTATGACTTTGCTTGCTCTGGTTCGCCCGTGTCAACCTCACCAAGATGTTACTAGAACATCTTAAGACAGTATCACCATGCATCATCAGAGGCAAGAAAAAAACAGACCAGGTCTAGAAAAAGTAAAAAATGGAGTTAGAACCGATGTGTGCGCCAAATTGGGACTATGACCGATATCGCCAGTCTACATAATGCGGTATCTCTCATCCTAAAAGGCTTGCCCAGGTTTGTCTAAGAGCCTTAGCCGTGTGAACCATAGAAGGTCTCATTGTCTTATTTACCGGTGCAACATCTCCATTTTATGCTCCTCAGACCGACCCTTCTTTTATCCATCTTTCCATTCCCGCTACGGAGAAAGCAAAGAAAACCCATATTTCATGCTCTTTCCTGCATCTTAGGTTGTGTTTTCTTCACCCCGCTGTCTCCAGCCAACCTCAGTCGCTCGTTTTGACAAACCACCACTCTCGTTAAAAAAATCTCCGAAATCCACTTTTCCCCAGTCCAGAACCGAATAGACGGGAACTAGCAGGAATAGCAGTGGTAGCAGCGTGGTCACAAATAGCGGTGCACAGGAGTACACATACATTGAGGAACCTTGCATTTCCTTGGAAATTGAAGGAAGGATTCCCCCGCAACACTGCAGCACAAGTTAACTGTCACCTTCTCTCTCCACACTCATTGAAAAGAAGGTCTTGCGACTTTTCATTTCTTTCTTTCTTTTTTTTTAACTCTCTCCATTCCTTCGCAGTAGTAGTATCGTGCTACCACAACCTGTCATTACACAACACAGTATTGTCGGTTGTCACCTGCAGCACCTTTCAGTCTACTGCCTGCTCAACCAGTCACTCGTTTACTCAGATACCTTTACAGTTTGCATTGAGAATTTCGAAGCTTATCCATTCAATAAGAACTTTCTCTCTTCCTTCACTCTCGGATCATCACTCTCGTTATTTACACATCACTCATCTGAGATATTGATATTCGCAATCGCTAAAAATGATTGTACGAGTTGCAACTCTTTTTGGTGCAGCAGCATTCATGCTCGCACCCTTCCTTGTAGCAGGTAAGCCTCCCAACGTCTTAATCCTGCATTAATGGGTTGCTGCTGCTGCTGCTGCTGTTACTACTATCACTATTGCTTCGTCATTATGTCCGATACACTCTAACGTCTGATTAAAATTCTAGCCGACTGTGAATGTGGTTATTCTGTCAATAAAACCACCGATGAAACTTACGCTGTCTTCACTGATCTCCTCGAATCAGACTTTTTGACTCTCAGCAACATCACCGAGGACACTGATTGGGCCATTCAATCATGGAGTGTTGACAAGGAGGCTTCAAAGGGGCCATATGGGCGCATAACAGAGCCCAGGAATGTTGTCTCGAACCCAGCAAAATCTACAAATACTTCGGAGGGACTCAATGGAGATCAGGCCGGGTTGGAGCTGTATGTCAGGAAGCTTGGGGAGAATGAGGAACATGTCAGTGTTGCGGAGGTTGATTCAAGGAGGACTGATATGCGTTATGGAAGTTTCAGAGCGGGAATCAAGGCTACTGACATTTCTGGCACCTGTGGAGCTTTTTTCTGGTAAGATTTCCTTTGCTTATCCTTGAACCCGCTCTAACTCAACCCCTGCTCAGGTACCTCAATGATACCCAGGAGATTGATATGGAATTTCTCTCTGCGCAAATCAACGAGACTTCTTCTCCTGTTAACCTTGTACTTCACTCCGCTCTCACTGAGAGTCACGGGGGAGATGCAAAGGGCACTCCTACCTATAAAGTTATCCCACTTCCATTCAACTCGGCCGAGGAGGTGCACGAGTACCGCTTTGGTAAGTTTTGGTCACCTATAATATTGAGTATGGAGAGTTTGATGAGCTAACGTTATCCCATAGACTGGCAGCCTGGCAGTGTTAGTTTCTACGCCGATGGGAAGTGGATTGATACCATGAGGGACGCTAGATATGTCCCTCAGGCTGCTGGAAAGGTTATTCTCTCTCACTGGTCCAACGGAAACCCTCTTTGGTCTGGTGGTCCACCAGCCGTCGACGCAAAAATCACCATTCAATATGTTCAAGCATATTTTAACTCATCGGACCCTGCTCGTGCTCGTGACCATGCTACGCGTTGCAAAGATCCAAATGCTGCGAATGCGATTTGTGAAATCCCTGCTCTAACGGGTCCCCCAACACCTGGAAATGTCCATTTCTTCTCTCAAGCTGCGAGCGGGAACATGACAAACAACCAGACTGTGTATGCAAATGATAAGAAGGAGAGCTCTGCACCGAGGAAGAGCGCTGGAATCGTTACTGCGGTTTTAATCGCTGCTATGGTTGCTTGGGTTGTTTAATAGCTCATAGACCAATAATCACGGTTTAATGAGTTAAGAACCCGGGTTGTACATTTATGTTTCTTACTCTTAATACTGTGTGCGTCATGATTAAGGGAATTGAATGGGCACGCAGTTGCCGAGATGTGTATATTTTTCTTTCTTTCACTGTTCGGTTTGGGAAAACGGTGGTTTTTTCTTTTTCCTTTACCTTTTTTTCATTCCCCTTTACAATACCCCTTCCTATTTTGCCCTTGTTGATAGTCCGTTTCATTGCTCATTTTTCATATCTAGGATTGGGCTGTAGTTTTTACTCTCTAATGTTTTATGTTCCTTCCTATTTTGCTTCATATTTCACTCTTGTCAAATATCATTTCTCTCTACCCCCCCCCCCCCTTCGTGTCTTTACCTGGCGCATTCACTTACATCCTTTGATCATGTCTGTCACGAATTTTCCTTCATGTCTCATCAATTACACTACAGTCGCACCTCGCTATCTCGTAATTCGATATCTCGGATCTCTTGCTGTCTCGTACGAATTAGCGGGATAGGTACTGCCCTTCTTCACCAAAAACTATTTGCTGTCTCGTATATTTGCTATCTCGTAGGGGTTTGGCTTCCAGAATACGCTAACGACATAACGAGGTGCGACTGTACTGCTGTGTGGGGTATTTACAGGCCCTCATAATATCCCTTGCAGGATGAGCGATTTGCATGTACTTATTCGGTAGCGCATAGCAAAGACGCATGTAACCTGATGCAGACTTGACTGCAAGTCTCAAAAGGTCTAAAATGGATATGCTACACAACCTATGCCAAGTGATGTTCAAATACAGCACATATTGTTGGCCACTGCTACGTATGTAGGCATGACTAGCTCTAGTCGCGATCTGATGTCCTACACTACTCGTAGCTTCATGACGTTTCCGAACACGACTGCTATTGCATACCATGCAAAAAAGCGCCAAATCCACCTTTTTGTATGTCATGCAATATTGGTCGTGTTCGGAAACGCTATGAAGCTACGAGTAGGCCTCCGCGTGACCATCTCAACTGAAACCTGCACTTATCATCTACCACATGTGTGAGTAGGTACATGCTTAAGATCCAGAGTCTTGATTTAGAGCTCGCCTTGATTTAAGACACAACACAACCCGATTGTGTGAACTCGTCATTTAGGGGAAAAGGCATAAAAAAAATCTGGACAGCAACGGTGATGTACCCGGCACAGTTCCGGGGCGGCGGACATCGAGTGACAAGTGTCTGTGCCCGGGAAGCCCATACTCTAGAACGGAGTGGGCCGAGATGCGGGGTAGTTAAGCCTTGGTCTGCTGTATTAACCGCCAAGACTCGTGTTTTTATGGGAGAGTTATGCTGCGAGTGAGGGGTTGTGACGTTGCAACTGTGGTCCTACGAGCACAGTTTGTTGAGGTTAAGTTGGCCGACACTACCGATCGATCATTGTAGGAGACACCGATGATGACATGAAATCCCCCCACAAAAAAGAGAATGTATTCTTTCTCGGAAGCGGGCCAGCCCTATTGCTGACACATAGGAATCTGCGATGATTAGGCACTTTCTTATTTCATCTTTTTTTTTTTTTTTCCGTCGGGGACCTTTTTTGATTATTTCACCCCCACTACCGTTTCCCTTGTGGATGGTTGCTCATTGACCTTATCGGTGGAAGCGATTTTTGCTTTTTTCTCTCGGCAGGGGTAGTTTTTCTATATATGGACGGTTCGTGGCTTGCAGATCAGGATATTGTTGACTGTGGCTAGTAGGTACAAGCATCAAGGATCACTCGGGACAGCAACTACAGACTCTACTGCAGCTGCGTGCTTTGCAGAAAACAGGTATTCGCCTGAGTGACCACTTTCCACGAACAGCTCCGACCCTAATTTACATCCCCATAGAATGTGTAGGCAATTTGCAAATCTAAGACGATGTGTAGATTTGGAAGCTGCTGACAGGAAGGGATGTTTAGGATATAGTGCTCGTTCGTGTTATTGCTTGCCGAAATTCTACTTTCTCGCCGTGGCCATGGTGGTATATAATATCAGGAACGCCCCCGCCCCGTGTGATGAGTTGTAGATAGATATGCCGCCGGTAAAACATGTTTTTGCAAGAGATACAGTGGTTTGGTTTTGAAGTCTGGTGTGGCTGGCAGTGACACGCGCCGAACCGAATCGCAAATGGTACATAACTGTACTAAGCCCTCCGTGCGTATCAACATTCCTATCGACTGCGGGAGGGCTCGTCACGCCACCTAGTCGATCCATCGTATTAGCTTATTTTCCATGTTCTGAATTGATGGGTAGACACACTGAATATAGGCACTGTGACCCCTTAACTGTATCCCGGGAACCCGACAGACAATGCCATAACTGGTACGACAGTTACCGTTCGTAGAGGATAGATGGTATGAGTTATAGTGAATTTATAGAGTGGTATTATTTGCCTAATTGTGCTCCTAGAATTATCTCTGGGTTGTGGTTGGTCCAATATTTGGTAGGCATTCTTCATGGGTCGTGCCAGGTAAGCGTTAGCAGGTAGTAACACCGATCTAAAGGCACAAATCCTGTGTAGAACCCGTCTTGACTTTACTGGTACAACCAGTGAGCATGTGTAGGACTTATCAGCAAATGAACCGCAGATTGTTTACTAATCAAATAACTTGACCAAAGTCCAAAAATACAACCAGGCCGTGTATGTGCGACCGATAAAAGAGGTCGGTATCCTCCCAATTCTGTATTTAACCGCCGATGCAGTTAGTTTTTTTTTCTTTCATTATTTTGGTAGCGAATATAGATACTTGTATTTTGGATCTGATCTGATCTAATGTGCTTGCTGGCGGCTCAGATAATTCTGTGTGTACACATGTATACATAAGACGGTTGTGCGTTGGCGGACGAAAGGATCGATGACGCTGCGTTATTGTAACCACCAAACCACCAACGGGCGAGTATTTTTTTTCATTCTTTACTGCCTTCCTTTTTCTTCGAGATTTGAATTCTCTCATTGGTTACGGACATCCGGAGTTTTCGTCGTTTGGTTGAAAGTAACAAGGTAAGACATCCTCATAGCTGAGTCTGAGTAGGTACTCGTACTCAGGGTGGATGTTAATAGAGAAGTGGCTAAACACTGACTGGAATATAGACCTTATGCACGTTAACCAAGTCTTTAAGTCTCCAAGCCTTTAGACCCTGCATAATCCACGTGCATATTCCACCTCCAAGCCAAACTCGCAATCAAACATCCTTAGTTGGTAAATCTGGGCTACCAAGTACCTACGGGCTACAATGCCGTTTATTCATCTCAATGCCTGTGATAGTTCTTGGAACTGACGTGTAACATACGTACTCAGTCAGCTAAGACTTTGTAAGTAACGTAAGTAACGTAAGTGAGGAGTCTTCTATTCGCACGCACATCGTGTCACTCGACTAAAAAAGATTAGTCGGAACCTTCCGCCTTGGGGGGGGAAAGAGTCCTAAGTTGCACGCAGTAAGGTAATTTCGGCGACTCCGTTCGGATAGTGATATTCAGGGGGTATCATTAGTAGAGTAACTATGCAATGGTGGGCTTTCAGAACGACGCAGAATACCCGTTTCATGAGTTTTTTTTTTTTTTTTTTTTTTTGAGTAGCTGGCTATGCCAGGTATTACCGAATCAACGAAACTAGTTCTAAAGGGGCCAAGTCGCTGGTTGGCCGCTACAGAGCGGTCTGCGTTAGATTTCAGGTATCGAAATTTATTTAGGAACCTATTGTAAATATTAGAGACAATTTGACACTTTCTAGAGATTGTATGTAGGTTATGTAATTAGGGGGTATACAGGTATTTGGGTAACACTTATCACGTACTATATTGTCAGCGGTATTGATAATGATGATCGATGTATATGATGAGGATTTATCATAGACACTCGGGGAGAGCCTCCTTTATAATCTTCGCTTCTAGCCTCTCATTAGCGCTATTTCTAAAGCCACGTCTCCGCCACATCAACTGGCATACATGTACCTTTACTCCTCTCTGATGATGCCTCCCAATACCCGTACCTTATTCCCTGTCGTACTTCCGGATGCACTCTTACAACGGTCGAACTACACAAGTTAGATGTACGTATATAATGATGCTCTAGGTGACGCGTGAAGAGTGCAAGAGTGAAAAGATACTTATCCAGCATCGAAACGGTCCATTTGGGTTTAAAAAAACGCTATAACAAACAAAGTAGGCGAGCTACACGCTGCTGGTATTCGATGAGCGAGACTTGGAAGATGAGACTGTAATGTGCTGGACTTGTAAGTGACCGCTGGTTGATATTATATATATAGAGGATCTGACGCACTATAGGTGAACTATGCGCATGGGGAGTTTCTCCCCTGGTTGATATATAGAAAAATCAATCGAAGTCACCGCGCGCGGGGTTTCTGACTAATGTTAATATCTTACCTGGAGTCAAATTCTGGCACTTAGTTAGACACCAATTTCTGGATTTGTTGAAAGTTCAGTGCCGCTACTCTATGGTATGAGCATGGCCCGGCGCAGGGAAGCCCGAGGAGCTCGAGATGCAATAAGATTATCGCAAAGGTATCTGTCTTATCTTTGATACGAGTAGATGGTTTCATCAAAGACGTTGAAAATCTCCGGGGAACCTCAACACACGTATTTGTGAGGCAAAATTCGATAAACCGAGTACAAATCCTCACAACGATACATCTGATCTACCGGATCTATGGAATTAGAAAGGTCAGCCGATGACAGGCGAATTCCAACGTCTACAAATCATACCCCATCTCCTATCAGGATTCTTTCCAGAGCAGGTGCATGGCTGTTATCTTGGAACTGTAAAACTGTTCCTTCATAACCACCGCGAACTCCATAGAGCAAGCTTCTATTATATTGGTGCTGACTATGAGACCTAGGTCGTGTCATAGGTTGTTTATATCGGGTACTGGATGGTCGAGTACTATGCAGGGTATACACGAGCTTCATTGATCCAGAAAGATAGTTTTTAGACCTCTG